GCCAGCCTGAACTACATAGCGAAGCCCTGTCTCAAAAAGACCAAAAAAAAATTTATAGTACTCACAAGGCTGTATTTACCATCATGGTTTTTTTTTTTTTTTGTATCAGGAATTGAACTCAGGACCTTGTGCTTGCCAGGCGGGGCCTGTGCCACTGAGCTTTACCTCCTGCCCCACTATCGTGTTCTTCATCTACCTATGCTAGCCAGCTCCTGTTATGTTCCTGCTACATATCTAAGTGCAGAGCCAGCATACTACTTTATCTTTAGCTTTTATAACTGAGAAAACATATTTAAGGTGTACAACTTGATGTTTTAATATACCTTCCGTTGTACCCATCATATGAAGTTAGGATGAACACATCCTTTTTCTCCTCGTTGTTACATTGGTCTTTGGCGGGAAAACTTAAAATCTACAGACAGCGAATTTTAAGCATACATTCACACTGCTGTACATTAGATACCCCAACTTACTTACCAACATATTATGCTTAAAACAGGCACAATGCTTTTAGTACTCGCATTTTGGAATCCTTTGTTTCAAAGAAAAATTGTGCACTTAGTATCATGCATTTATAGAATAGTAAATTGTATCGATTGTTTCAACGTATAATGGTCTTCATATAACAATGAGACAATATGGTAACATTCTTGAAAAGTTAATAAATTTCCTACATAGTTGTTTTTTGATAAAAAAATACTCTACATTATATAGATAACACACCTTAATTTGTAGTCAAAATTGGATTTATGAAAAATGACTTCACACACTTTGGAGATGTTTGTTTTGCAACGAACTTTCATCCTTGTATAAAGCAGTGAAATAAGGCATTTGAAAGTAGGAAAAGAAAGGTCAGAAGCAGAAATTTCTAATTTTGTACCTTAACTTGATAACACGAATCTTAAATTTATTTATTTATGTATTTATTTATTTTACGCATCTTAACTTTAGTTCAACACATAAGATCGAAAGAGATCTGAGGCAGGCATGGTGGAGCTCCCATGTAATCCTAGCAGCGTCTGAGGTTGAGGCAGGAGGATCCCTGCTCCAGCACAACTTGTGCAACTCAGAGATTTCGCAAACTCAGAGATTTCCTGAGACTGTCGAGAGACACCCAGAGACCGACACAGACAGAGAGACAGAGAGACAAGAGCGGTCCTGGATTGAAAAGTCTGCACTGTTCTAATAATTGTTTAGAATTCTGGACATACCATTTGTGACTTTCGACTTCAACAAATACGTGTCAGTGACCTCAGTAAATAAAAATAGACGTCGACCCTCCTGGGCTACAGAGACGCACCAGGGGCTATTATCACCATCAGCGCGGCTCGGGCAATCTTGTCATTAGCAGCTCTGGATCATTTTCAAAGGTATGGGGAAGCATCTCTGGCCTATTTTAATTTCTAATTTCACTTTTATCTCGAGACAATCTTGAACAGTCTTTCTTTGGAAGCAGCGTTCCTTTGGGCCACTTCCTTTTAATTCTGAGTGTAAAGCCAACAGCCCCTGGCCGCCGGGGTCTTCCGCCCGGCCCCGCTGGGAGGCGGCCCCCGCCCCCCGGCCCGCGCCCCTCCCCCGGTGAACAGCCCCGGCTCCTGGACCCTTCCGCGGACGTCAGTGTTCTCCTTCTCCGTCGCCAGAATTCTCCGGCAAGGTTTCCACGCGCCTGGGACCTTCGAGGAGATTCCCACACCCTGGAACTAACTGGGTCGCAGCCTGCGCCAACCCCTGGGCAGCCGGCGAGCGCGCTCCGCGGGGCGGTGTTGACGTTCCCGTCTCGTCTCCGTGGGCGGGGCCTCCGCGCCTAGGCCCCGCCCCGCACGGGATCCGCGGTTGTGGGCAGGGAGGGAGAGCACGACGGCGCCCGGGAAACCGGCGGTAGTGCGGACAGCCCGGGGCGGGGCCTGCCGCAGGGGGCGGGG